AATTCCTACTATCAATGGAATCAGCAATAACACCATAATGCCAAATGTGAAGGGTGATGCAGACAGCAGCAGCAGTATCAGCAGTTCTGTTTGGGTGCGTGTACCACTACTGATTGTGGTTACACTGGCCTGTATTCTTGTGTGCTGATTGTAATGGTGGTGGTGTGGTGTGACTCAGGTCATCCTTTGTTTTCTTTCTTTTTGTATGCATCGACACTACAGTCTAACTAATCTTCCACCTGTTGGGATTTCTTTTTTCTTTTTTTGTGTTTCTTAATGTTAATGTGTTTTGTGTGTGTTTTTACTCTCTGTGTTTATCCTATAATAATTATTATTGCTGCTCCATGGTGTGTGTGTGTGTGTGTTCTTGGAGACTCTCTCTGTGTGTGCCTGGGCTTGCACTGTGATAATGAACTGCTTTTTGCAGTGTGGAAATAAAGAAATAATAATAACAGATGAATTTATATTTATAATTGCTTATATACACACATATATAGAATTACACCCACAGTTGGTGTGTATTTCTGTTTTTACTGGGTAAATTGGGCTAATGTTTAATATCTTTTTGTTTGTTTGCTTTTGGTTTGCTGGGGTCGTTGTGTGTTTTGCCTTGCATTCTTTTGCTGGTGGACTGCTTTGTGTAAATGGAAAAAAGGAAGTGATGCATTTTTATATTTTTCTTCTTCAGTGAATATTAACAGAGGCGTAACCATAGTGCTTTATTTGTGTTCTTTGTTGTTGTTGTTGGTCTTGCAACTAATTTTTTTTCTTTTTTGTTTTTGTTTTGCTTGGTTGTTATCTAGGGTGCTCTATTACGGAGCTCCTTATTCTTTCATTTGCTGTGTTGTTTTTCTGTAAGTGTTCTTGTTCTTTTGTTCTTTCCTTTTTGTTTGTAAATCTATTTAGTGGACTGTATTTTTTTGTTCTTTCTGCTTGACTTTTGTTTTCTCTAGCCAGGTGACATCAATCAGCTGAAGTATCTTATGTTGTAATGGTGCTGCGACGTGTGTTTTATTTTCTTGTTTTCCTTTTGAACATTATCTGTGTGTGTGGGGCGATTGGTGTTTCTGGTTCACCTCCACCAGCAGCACCTCCTCCTCGTGCTGATCAAGATAACAGTGATTCTCTTACCAATGTTGGTCAGGAGACTACTACATTACGCCCAGGTCCTGAAGAACCTGGGCCAGATAGTAGTGGATTGGACGCAGGACGTTCTCATTCTAAGGATGTCGAACGTCAACAGGAGGAAGGAGCCAGTGGTAGTGCACTTAAAGCAAAGTCATCCCAACCCAATGAATCTGAGGGTGGCCTTCTTCCTGGTGCAAAACCTGCAATAAATACCCTAGGTACAGGGGATTCCCCACAACGGGGTTCCGATCACATCAATGGGCAAAGTGAACATAATCATCAAGGTGGTAGTAGTGGCAGTGGCAGAACAGAGCCATCAAAGCCAAGTGCAACGGATCCTGAACAGAATAGTGAACTTAAGGACAAATCAAATAAGAATCCTGACACCCTCTCACCCGTTCCATCTCCCAGTAAACCCAGTGAAATTCCGACCGCTCCAGATAGTTCCAGTGAACAGCTGCAGGATACCACACCTACGGGCACACAAGACTCTACACAAAACGATCACAGTAATGATAAAAGTACTGACAGAACAGGAAATACATCAAACCAGGATGGTACAGCACCACAATCCTCTACTTCCAGCAATTCATCCACAGAGAATGCTGCTGGATCTGATAATGCAAACGCTGAGAATGGCACTGCATCTGAAGCGAGTGGAACAACAAGTAACCACGAAGCTGTTGCAGGTAATACAAATGCAACCACCACTACTACTACTGCCACCACCACAACAACACTTCCTCCTGAACTCACAAACAACAAGAAGGGTGATGCAGACAGCAGCAGCAGTATCAGCAGTTCTGTGTGGGTGCGTGTACCACTACTGATTGTGGTTACACTGGCCTGTATTCTTGTGTGCTGATTGTAATGTTGTGGTGGTGTGACTCAGGTCATCCTTTGCTTTCTCTTTTGCATACATCCCTACAGTCTAACTAATCTTCCACCTGTTAGGATTCTCTTCTTTTGTGTTTCTTAATGTTAATGTGTTTTTTGTGTGTGTTTTTGCTCTCTCTGTGTTTATCCTATAATTATTGCTACTCCATTGTGTGTGCTTGCACTATAATGATGATGAACTGCTTTTTGTAGAGGGAAGAAGTAAATGATAATAACAGATGAATTTATAATTGCTTGTATACACATATAGACTTACACCCATAGTTGGTGTATATTTCTGTGTTTATTGTGTAAATTGGGCTAATGGTTAATATCTGTTTCTTGGGTTGCTATTGTATACCTTGTACTGATTTGCTTTCTGAAGAAAAAAGAGTGACTGATACATATTTATTTTTAATTGCTTATGTACAAATGCACATCACGGTCTGAATGCTGTTTATGTGCAGTTGGTGGCTTTGTTCGCTGTGCTCGTAAATTGTTTATAATTTTTTTTGCTTGGGCTTTTCTGTGTGAGCTGCCTGTTTCTTTGCTTTTTTATACTTTGTGTTGGTGTTCTTCTTGTGAGTGATTGTTGCTTGATTGTTGCATCCTTTCCCGTGTGTCTGTTTCTAATTTATTTTACTTTTGTTATATTTTATGTCTTCTTGTTTAACAGTTTATATACCTAAGAAAACAAACGAGGATTAACGTTTTTCGTGATGATGGTGCTGCGACGTTTGTTGTATTTTTTTGCTCTCCTGCTGAGTCTTGCCTCTCTCTGCGTGTCAGCTGGCGGGGCTGCAGCAGAACCTGAAGCTCCTCCTGAATCTAGTTGCCCTTCTGGTTCTGGTGGTCCTGAGTCTGGTTGTCCTTCTTCTTCTGCAGCTGGTGTTCATCCTCCACCTCCTGCATTAACTGCTGGTGTTTCTACTCCTTGCACTACTTCTTCTTGTGCTTCCACTGGTATACCGTGTACTACTCTTGCAAATAATAGTGGGCATCCTGAATGTGCTAGTGGTGATGTTGATAGTGACACCCAGCGGTTAAATCATAGGGAAGAGCAGAGAATTACTGATCATGACAGTAAAGGTATTACGGGTGCGAAGGGACAAAGTGGGGATCCGAAAAATCCGTTGGAGGAGAAGGAGGAAGAGAAAGAAAAGACCGATGAACCGCAGAATAGGGTAGCACATGAGAGTGATGCTGACACTGGTAAACCTCAGGGCACTATACAAACAGGAATAACTGAAATCGATCCAAACTCTCCTTTACCTTCTTCTTCAACTCTTGTACCTTCTGCCACACATCCTGAACAACCAAGTGATGGTCGTGATGCTACGCAGGATAGTAATCCCTCACGAGAAGATAACACACAACCGGAAGGCTCACAGACGGAAACAGAAGGAGAGAAGAAAGAAACTGAAAATGAAACACAACCCAATTCTTCCGATGGATCCAATACAACTGGCGCTGGGGATCAAGAAAACAGTGCTGCGACGGTTCAGGAACAGAACACTGCTGAACAGGAATCTCAACAACAAAACAATACAACTGAAACAACTAACGAAGCGAACACGAACCCTGACACTACCAATACACCCAATAATGATGAGGAATCAACCACAACCACCACAACAACAACACTTCCTCCTGAACTCACAAACAACAAGAAGGGTGATGCAGACAGCAGCAGCAGTATCATCAGTTCTGTGTGGGTGCGTGTACCACTACTGATTGTGGTTACACTGGCCTGTATTCTTGTGTGCTGATTGTAATGGTGTGACTCAGGTCATCCTTTTTTTTTTTTTGTATACATCCACACTACAGTCTAACTAATCTTTTACCCGTTGGAATTGTTTTTATGTTTCTTAATGTTAATGTGTTTTGTGTGTGTTTTTGCTCTCTCTGTGTTTATCCTATAATAATTATTATTGCTACTACTCCATTGTGTGTGTGTGTGTTCTTGGAGACTCTTTGTGTGTGCACCTGGGCTTTGCACTGTAATGATGATGAACTGTTTTTTTGCAGTGGGAAAAATGAAATAATAATAACAGATGAATTTATATTTATAATTGCGTATATACACACATATAGACTTACACCCATAGTTGGTGTATATTTCTGTGTTTACTGTGTACGTTGGGCTAACGTTTAGTATCTGTTTCTTTGCTTGATGATTTCGCTGGGTGGTTCAGCCTTTTTTGAGATATTTGTGAGTGTGGGCTTCTTTGTTTTTACTGTTAATGAGGTTACTGCGCTGCATTGCATTCTTTAACTGGTAGGTTTTTTATTTTCACGATGTGAGTTTCCATAGTGGTAATCGATTTGTATGTGTCTTAACGTGTTTGATACTTCAGTTATTTTCTTTTTTTTTTCGCTTTTTGATTGTCTTTCGTTCTAGATCAGTGTTTGTACGTGAAACAGACCCTTGTCTCTTTCTCATGATGATGATAATGCGCCATGTGATGTGTGTGTTGGCCGTTGTGCTGTGCTGCGCCTGCGGGTATACTATGACGGCTGCTGCTGCTGTTGATGATGACAGTCCCAGTGGCCGTGGTGTATCCCGTGGGGCTGTGGAGGTGTCGTGCGGGGCCGGCGGTGCGCT